TGTCCAGAGTTAGTAGCCCTAGTCTGTCTGATCTCTTTTAGTCCATTAACAAGCTGTTTCTCTTCAAGTTTGGTGGAGTTTAAATTTTCTTTGAGTTTAGAGAAATTTGACTGAAATGCAAAATATCATTGAATGCATCAGAACATTGAAATACCATTATTATCACAAGCTAATTCTACCTGTTTTCCCCTCAAAGTAGTTTTCTTTGTCTTCAAATCGTCTGCGATCTCTGTTTGTTCTTCCTGTACTTTTGTCATTTCTTCAGTAACCAAGTTGACTGATTCTTGTATGGATTGCCACTCTACATCTAGTTCTTGGATCTTATTGTGGGCTTCGTCTACCTTTTCTTGGTACATGGGCTTGTCTGCTGCACTATCTACAACAGCTTTTTCAAGAGGACCAAGTCTGTTTTCCAATTCAATAACCTCTGCCCACACTCTTTCCCTTTTGAGTTCTTCCACTTGTTCTTTCATGGTCTTTAGCTGTGATAAGTCCTTGTACTTCTCTTCTAGTTTTTGTACATTTTTTTTCATTTCAAGTAATGTCTGTAGAACAATGAGAGTGACCTTAAATAACTACAGTACATTTTACAGGTCATTCAATACAGATGCTGATTGAATATAATATAATGCTATTTACATGCCTCTTTTTTCTTGGAAAGTGTAGTTTCAAAAATATCTAGTTGTTCTATCAGGACTTGATAGTCTATACTCATCTTATCAAGCTGAATTGCCTTTAAGAAGAACTGTGAAATTCAATAAAAGTTTCAATATCTTTATAATGTGGCTAAAAGTAATTTAAAGTCAAAGTTGTCATGTAATTCTTGTTGAGAGCCTTTCATTGCTTGGTGTTGATTGTTGTGTAAATGCAGCCATATACTAAATGTGCTGTGGTTTCTCAATCCTCAAGGTGATTGATTATACATTGCTTTTTTTGCTGGTGCACAGCTGAGCTGATCAGCAGTCATTCCTATTGAGGGAGGCTTGGAATATGTCACATTCCATAGCTTGTTGCTTAGCAATGATTGCAACCAACTACCCTCACTGTATCAGTTTGGTTTATTTGTGGTACAAATAGGATAGTATAATAAGTATTGTTTACCCTGTAATTTTCTTCAGGATTTGAATTATTCAGGAATGTTCTACTAGTATCTTGATTAAGAACCGAGACTGGATTATCAACCTACATCAATGAAAGATAAGAAAAAATCCAATGACTGCAGTGTCACATTAAGTAGAAAAAGCCAGTCTGTCTATCAAGCAATTCTTCTTCCATTTAACCCCACCTTCTTTTTGTGCAGGTGTCAATAAAAACAGTGCTTAGTGGAAGTTAATGATATTTCCAAATATCTAGCTTACCTGTATCTCAAACTGGTTCACTATGTGCAACAATTCTTCTTTTTTTGTAGAAATAGTTTTCCCTAAATAAAATACATTAAAAGATCGATGAACAACCTTCAAATAAACTTCATAACCTTACAATTCTACCACACCCTATCAATACTAACCTTGAGGTTGTCAGAACTACTTCCAAAGAGACTCATTAAAAGAATGGTAGTAAAGGGATAAAGATTATATGAAATAGTTACATACATGCATATAAGCACTACATACTATTACATGATGTATTATTACATGAAATGTGAAAACTAGCCCAACTGTAA